ACCTTGTCCATGTGATCCCTGGACAGGCCATAGTCCGTAGCCAGCCACTGCTGTAAGGGTCACATTTGGAGCCTCGCATGGCGGATGATGTACGTGCACACCGCCATATGGCCCAGCAGCTGTAGGCAGACCCTGGCTGTCATGAGAGGAAACACAGAGACTCTGGCAATGAGGTCCCTCATCGTCTGGAACCTGTCATGCAGCAGAAAGGCCTTTGCTCTGGTGGAGTTGAGGACTGTCCCAATAAACTCTATCTTTTGTACAGGGACTAATGTTGATTTTTCCTCGTTTATCAACAGGCCTAGTCTCCTGCACGTGGTCAACAGCATCGCGACGGCACCCTGGACCTGGGCTCTGGAATGATCCTTGACCAGCCAGTCATCCAGATACGGGTAGCTCAGGATACCTGAACGTCTGAGGTGAGCCGCCACCACCAACATGCATTTTGTAAACACCCTTGGTACCGTAGCCAGGCCGAAGGGGAGCACTGTGAACTGGTAGTGTGCGGATCCCACCGTGAAGCAGAGGAAGCGTCTGTGTCCTTGAAAGATTGCTATATCAAAGTACGCGTCCTTCAAGTCAAGGGCAGCATACCAGTCTCCCGGATCTGGGGAGGGTATGATGGAGGCCAGGGAAACCATGCGGAACCTCAACTTCTTGAGATACTTGTTGAGGCCTCACAGGTCCAGGATGGGCCTTAGGCCCCCTTTAGCCTTCAAGATCAGAAAGGTAACCGGAGTAGAACTCCTTGCCCCAAAGGTCTAGGGGGACTTCTTCCAAGGCCCCCACCTGCAGTAGGCCTTGCACCTCCTGATGCAGTAGACTCTCGTGAGAGGGGTCCCTGAAGAGGGACGGGGAGGGAGGATGGGAAGGGGGACAGAAACAAACTGGAGGGTATAGCCCTGCGCCACAGTATTGAGGACCCAACAATCCAACGTTATAGACATCCGGGCTGGGAGGAAAAATGAAAGTCAGTTGGAGAAACGGAAGGGGGCAGGATCCAGGACAGTGGCTGGAATGTCGTCCTCGGGCGCATCCTCAAAATGCCCATTTCGACCCCTGCTCGGAGCGGGAAGAGCTAGCCTGTGTCAAGGTAGAGGGCTGTTGGCCCTGATAGCATTTGTAGCCCTTGCCCTTCTTCTGGAAAAGCTCCTGCTTAGGCTGGCTATGCTGCTGATGGGGAGGCTGCAGCTTAAAATGCTTTCTTTGCTGCCCCAGGTATAGGCCCAGGGTCTTGAGTGTGGTGCGCGAGTCCTTTAACCCGTGCAGCTTATCGTCTGTTTTCTCCGCAAACAGAATTTGGCCGTCGAAAAGGAGGTCCTGGATGGACTGTTGGACCTCCGCTGACAGCTACGCCGCCCTTCTCATGGTTATGGCTGAGGCCATGGTCCGTGCCGTAGTTAGCCACGTCCGAAGCCACCTGCAAGGTCTGCCCTCGCCAATCCCTGCCCCTCTTCCAGGATGGCCCGGGGTTCCTTCCTGGGGTCATCCAGAAGGGAGTCAACAAATTTGGCCATCGACTGCCAGATGTTAAAATCATAACGGCCCAGTAGAGCCTGATGATTCACCACCCTCAGCTGTAGGCTCGATGACGAATAAACCTTTCTCCCAAAAATGTCCAACTTTTTCACCTCCTGATTTTTGAGAATAGCCTCCAGTTGTCCCTGTCTTTCCCGCTCATTGACAGCAGATGCTACTAGCGAGTTCGGGGAAGGGTGGGAATACAGGTATTCATACCCTTTAGCAAGCACATAGTACTTGCGCTCCGCCCACTTGGAAATTGGGGATATTGATGCAGGAGTCTGCCAGAGGGCCTTGGTAATCTTGGCCTTCCCGTCACGTACTGGCAGCATGATTCTAGCAGGTGCTACGGAGCTGAAGATGTTGAAGAGGGTGTCCAAGGGCTCCTTTAGCTCCTCGGTTTCTAGTCCCAAGTTCAAGGCTACCCTCCTCAAAAGATACCTGATGAGCTGTGGTATCGTCTGGGGGACCATAGGCGGGGGTCCCATGATGGCCTCATCGGAGAGATGAGGAAGAGGATGTAGGTGCAGCAAGAGTCACCACCTCTGTGACCTGCTTGGCATGGCCTTCTTCCCCCATCTGTTGGACATGGGGGGGGGTCACAGGCATGGCAGCCTCCGTCTCAGGTGGACGGGAGACCATGGCAGAGGACTTGTCAGAGACTCCTGACACTGACTTATGCCTTTGGGGCAGCTGCGTGAACCCCACAGGTTCCAAGGGTGCCACAGCATGGGCCATTGACCCTGTGGCCATGGTAGTGCTGACTGTGCCACAGAGAGAACCGGTGTCGCCAGTGGGTTCTTGGTCCAACTCCGAGCCCAGGGATGGAGGGCCATGTTCCGGAGATCGGGACCACACCAAGGCCGACCAGGCGTCTTGGTCCTGGCTGTGTCCACCGCCACACTCCAAGTGGGATCTGTATGCGGGAGACGATCCACCGCGTCGAGATCCTGGTGACTGGCATCAGCATTTGGCGGATCCACGACAGTACTACGGCGATCTACACCGAGCAGTTCCCAACCGGTTTCGGCCTATAGAGCGGAAGCGGGAGCAAGAGAGTGACCAATGCCGCGATGACAAGCGTTGACGCTGGTATAGCAACCTCTGGCTATAGGTCAGTGACAGGTACCGAGAGTCCTGATGGAGGTTACCACTACAGCGGCAGCAATCCGAAGGCGAGCAACACTCCCGGGACCGGGGTCGCGGGGATGAACGTGCCTCAGTAGGTCTATGCCATATTACCTGTGATTGAGGCTTTGATCCTGCAGAGTGATGGCCGGAGTCCGGAGACCTGTGCCGAGGGCTCCAATTGGTATGTAGCCCTATGTCCGAGACGTGGTGGCTCTGTGCGGGCGAGCACTGGTGGGATGCTCCCTGACATGGTGAGCGGTACTGCATTGATGGGGACTGAGGGGGTGGTACAAGGGCAGGCTTATCCCTTGATTTGGGAGCTGCAGTCGCCGGTGTGGGCAACACCGGGAGGGACAAGATATCCTGCGCTGCCTGTAGGGCCTCTGGGGTCGACGGCATTGCCAGGTGCTGGACTGCCATGCTGCTGTCCGGGGTGGCTGGCCCATCCTGGGATGGGCTAACCTGCTCAACTGAAGCTGGGGCCCCACTCCCCCTTGGAGGCAATGAGCCACCGTTCGTTGTGTCTAGGCTCGCCTCCTTCCCTCTCCTTGCCCTTGCGAGCAGGAGACTGGCTCTCCAGGTCTTCCTCTTTTTACTGGTTGGTGCCGGGGAGGTGGATTGTCATCTGTCTGATGATGGTACCCACGGGCCGCTCCACACTGACGCCACAGTGCTGGGTGCGGAGTCCGATCTCTGCTGCCCCGGTGCTGGTGTCAGCGCCGACTCCATAAGGAGTGCTTCAAGTTGCGTGTCCCGCTCTTTCTTAGTGCGAGGCTTAAAGCTCTTGCAGATTCGACACCTGTTGCTGACATGAGATTCTCCCAAACACCTTAAACAACTGGTGTTGGGGGGTCACTGATGGCCATGGGTTTCTTACAGCAGTCGCAGTTCTTAAAGCCCAGGGAGCGGGGCATGCTCCGTCCCAAGCTTAAGTCCCGTCTGGGACAACTAAAACTAACTAAAACACACTAAAGGAACTAATACTAGTTGATATAACTATGTACAATAGAAAGGTTTGCAACAAACAATTCTACAGAAGAAAAGGTTTGCTGAAGCCAAGGAATGTACTAGCACCATCACTGGTGGTAAGAAGGAACGGAGGGTGGGGAGAGCCAGCGGCGCCCCTTATACCGCGGCATAAGAGCGCCGCTCCAGTGGGCGCCAGACCCAGTCCCCTACGGATACCACTGAGGGAAAAACTTGTGGCACTGGTGCATGTGGCGAGCACACACGCCTAACATGGAATGGACATGAGCAAGCACTCGAAGAAGAACTAAAATTATTACTTTCCCTGTTTTTTTCTATCACAGCTATATAGCAGCAGTAGCATATTTAACTGAGCCAGAGAGATGTACAGCAGTGGCTCTCAACCTTTCCAGGACTACTGTACCTCTTTCAAAAGCCTGATTTGTCTTGAGTACTCCCAAGTTTCACCTCACTTAAAAACTACTTGCTTACAAAAATCAGACATAAAAACACAAAAGTGTCACGGCACACTATTACTGAAAAATTGCTTACTTTCTCATTTTACCATGTAATTATAAAATAAATCAACTGTGATATAAATACTGTACTTACATTTCAGTGTATAATACATAGAGTAGTATAACCAAGTCATTGTCTGCATGAAATTTTAGTTTGACTTTGCTAGTGCTTTTTACATAGCCTGTTGTAAAGCTAGGCAAATGTCTAGATGAGTTGATGTACCCTCTGGAAGACCTCTGCGTACCCCCAGGGGTACTTGTACCCCTAGTTGAGAACCACTGGTATACAGTGTGTGATCTTGTTATTAGGCCCTTGTCATTTCATATTTATCCCCCCTACTGTTTGTTACTCCACTGATCCGGTCATATCTAAAGTGATATTGCAAGCTTTTTGGGGCTGGGGCTGCCTAATTACTATTTTCATTCATAAAGGAACTGTAATACTCCGGTGGTGAAAAGAGCTGGGTGTTGGGAGGGTGTCTCAGTTCAGTTCTTAGTAGGTAACTGTCTCTTTTCTGAACCTCCCTCCATCATAACTGGCATCTTTGTTTGCAGTCTTATCCCTGAAAAATAGTTGTCAAAGATTCAGCAGGCCATTGAAACTGGATTCTCCTCCTCCTCCTCCTAGGAAAGGTCCCTCCAGAGCAGTGCTGAGGGATATTGGCAGGAGGTGAAGTAGAGCAAGCTTGCACAGCCACTTCTATGGATGAATAGAAAATTTCGGTCTTCAGCCACAAGGGCTGTCAATCCAAAATCTTTCACCATCTCCAAATTCACGAAACCAAAAGCCCAGAGGTATTGGAAATGTGATAATTGCCAGAGTGATTCAAAGCCAACACACAACCAGCCCCAACAATACTTTACCTTCCGCTGAGGAAGAAGGAAATTCTGGCATTTCATGAGCTGTTGGAGTCTGAGGAGAACTGTTTGAACTGGTTTCCTTGGAACTGCTATTGGATGATCCACTTACTGTTGCAGTAGCTTTAAAATAAATATCTGACTGAAATGACAAATAATACATTGTTAGCACAGCAAGACTTCCCAGTTTAGCATTGAGACTGTGCCCAAAGAGTTGTCCTTTAAATGGTGCAGCCACTGTATGCTGATTTGCCAATGGAAAGGCCTTAAAGACATCTGGAGCTGGCCCTGGGAGGATCACCCCAGAGTAAAAGAATCCTCTGGTGGTATACAGTTGGCAGAGCAGCCAGCTCCTACATGATCCCCCTACTTGCAGTTACAGAAGGTAGCATGGCCTGGGCTTTCCAGAGGGCTGTCAATTCCTGACTGGGCCCCTTAGCCCTGTTGGCAATCAATGCACATTAGACAATGCATATTAGAGTAGCCTGAAGGGCAAAGGTGACCAGCCCAGATGGCTCCAGGAATGGGAGAAGGTCAAAAACAGCACCGGACCATATTGGCACACTCCTGCCCTCCCAGGTTTGCTGTGTGCTCCTCAAATACAACTGAGGAACTGGACCAGAGTCCAAGGGTTTGGCTCAATAACCAACTTGTGTTCCTATGAAGTTAAAAAATGTAGCCTAATCTTTCCTTTACTATCACTGCTCCTCATTACAAATAGAGAATTCTCCCTCCTTTTTCCAGGTGCATATATAAGGGCTAAGCACAAAACACACTGAGCCATCTTCATCCTTGAAATCATGGAATTACCCAGGGATGAAGTTGGCCTATTCGCACTTATCCATGCACTCACATCTGGTGACTCACTGAACCCCTTTACCCTTTATTCAGTCAGAGGAATGTCAAGTGGAAAAGAGAAAGGAGTATTCCTAACTATGTAAAATGAAAGAAACTGGGAAAGACATTGGAAAAGGAGCATCTCTGGGTGAGCAATGGTAATATAAATGATAGTTTTCAGAGTAGCAGCCGTGCTAGTCTGTATCCGCAAAAAGAACAGGAGTACTTGTGGCACCTTAGATACTAACACATTTATTTGAGCATAAGCTTTCGTGGGCTACAGCCTGAAGAATACGCTAATAACAATACATCACAAAGAGAAATGATTCTGTATATTTAAATTGCCTAAGATGCATTACGAGATGCCTCCTACTAAGGGTAAGAAAAATTACTGCTCAGAACATATAAATCTGATCAACTGCTGTTTTATCACCTCTGCCCCGCTCCTCCCCCAGAGAGCAAATGCTTCCTGCTGCCCTTCATTGTCTGTTTAGATCACATCAATTTAATTTAAAAA